AGAAAGAGCGAGGGAGAGAACAGGAGAGGAAAGAGAAGAAAAAACATGGCGCTTGCGAGCTGTACGTGCAAAATCCGCAAGGAATTGCAGTAAATTCCTTTTTGTTTGAAGAAAATTTACAACTTGGTAATAGACCTTTTTATGACCTATTTGCGGTTGTCATTGGCTGCGGCTGGTCATGTGCAGGCGCCGCTCGCCTTCACGGCCTTTTTCCTGATTTCCCAGGCGAATTTCCCCCCGCATTCTGCCTTCCTAGAGCCTCACCCCCTCTTTTTCTAATCTTTGTCTCTGCAGAGGTGGGATACACTCGCCGGCTGCGGGAGTGCGGGGTCCGCGGCGGCTTCAGCTCCCTCCCGGCGCCCAACTTGGCCCCACCGCGGCTCCGCTCTCGCCGCGCCGCAGCCGCGGCTCCGCTCGCCGCGCCGCAGCGGCCTCGGGAGCGGGTGGGGAGTCCAGCGGGCGGGAGAGCCCGGAAGGAGCCCCAGGCGCCGAGGCCCCCGCTGGCGCCGACACCGCCTGCCGGGAGCAGCGAGCCGGCTCCGGGTGCCGTAGCCGCGCGGTTCCCACGTGGCTCCTTCTCCGACATGAGCGGGTCTCTGCCGCCCAGAGTGCGCGTAGCGCGGCAGCGCCTAATGGATTACAGCAGCGGCCCCGGCCGACCCATGCCTCCAGCTTAGCAGCCTCTGGGTAAGAGTCGCCCCCACCCCGTGCCCCCTTACCCTTTCCCCGAACCTGGAGGTGGCTGTCTGCGACCCTTGCTTCCTAAACACTCCATCTTTAAGTGGTGTACCCAGGGGTCCCAGGTAAGGTCAGGCCGAGATCAGAAGCCAAAGGGAAGCCCCACTTCCTCTGGAGGTTCTGAGAGGTGGATAGCAGCATACAGGATCCCACTGCCTGGATCGAGAGCCCCTCAATCCCCACCCTGGGAAGAGTATGTAGTTCCTGGACGTCTCAGCTTTGCCGGAGGGTCCCTAAAGGCACTCTGTTCTATACAGCAGTGTTCTGCGGTTTGTCTGAGGTCAGAGGTACTTGGGAGGCAAACAGGTGTTTTTTGAGGGTTGGGGCTTGGGTGGGGGTGGGGTGGATTCTGTGTTCTCAGGATATGCTTCGTTTGTTAATCCAGGCTTTGGTTGGGTGATACTGACTAATTTCTAGGGTTTATGGTTTATTGGGCCTTGTGTATGAGAAGGAATTATATATATTTTAAACCGTTTCTCTAGTTCTTAGTTAATTTTCGTAACAACTCAAGAAAGGTCCCTCCCACGTCTAATAATCTGAAAGGTAAATTTGGATTATTTTATGTCAAAAAATGGATGCATGTTTTGGGAGGTTATAGTATCAGAAAATCTGGTGCAGGTTTTGTGAAAAAACCAATTAGATATTTAAGAAATGTATAGCACATCTAAGTTCAAACATCGCGTCTGTTTTTTATTTGCCAGAGTAGGAAAAGGGTAGATATTTTGCTCTCTACATGTACTGTCGTGTTGTGGTGAGCATGTGTGTGTTGCCTACAAATCAATATTATATAGTAACATTTTGCCCTCTACTTCAAAATTACTGAACCAAAACATTATGAGTCAAAATAAAATCCTTTGCAGAAAAAATAATGATATTTTCTCCCACTGATTTTGAATGGTACTTGAGGATATAGTTCTCAAATCCTATTGCCTATTTACTCATGGACACGTTGTGAAATATTAAAACATTTGGACAATCTGCCGCATTGCGGATGGCGTGGACCTGCACATGGCCGTGTATAGTCTCTAAAGCACTCAGTTGCGAAATCTAACTTAATGTTCCCCCAAATAGTCCAGCATAACCGTGTTGGCTGTAAAGCATTTCTAAACAATAAATGACATCTTTGTAGAAAGGTATTTTTAGTAATTAACGATGGAATCATGCTCGTTTCAAAATGGAGGGCCACGATTTGTGGCCAGTTGATGTCTGTGGAATTGTCATGGATCACTAACTATGATCACTCACAAATAAGAAACTGATTTTTAAATTTGTAGTGTTTGTATTTTGTGACTCATTCTCTACTATGGTACAATGTCTGTTTAGATCATTCTTTCATATTGGTAAAAGCATTACCTATTGAAAAGCAAGCCCCTGTTCCGGGGCTCTTAGGCCCTCCCTCTGGCAACTCCAGAGCCTAAAGAGCCCCTAGGTCGGCTGTGCCCAGGTTGGGGGTGGGGAGGAGCTGAGGCCATTATAGCCAAGCCTTGATATTCAGAGCTTCCGTCGCTTTTCCCTGAGTTCGGTGGCTGAGTGCGCCCAAGTGACTAGGAACCTGGGCGGGCTGCAGGTCCCATTACGCAGCAGAGGGTGATGTCATGGGCAGATAGATATGGAGGACTGAAGGGCTCTTTGTAAGCTCCTGTGGTAGCATTAAGAGCTTACTGGAACTAAATGGTAGATTGCATCCAAGAGAATAAATAATCTGTGAATCACACTTGAACTCAGGCCACTTAGTCCACAAGGAAACGAGTTAACGCTTTGCCACCGCCGGAAATGCCTCCATTGTCCGTTAACTCAATAAAAAAAAATTAAACGAAATAAAAAATACTGGGACCAAAACAGTTCACAAGCCAGGGAGTTTAACTCCCAGAGTCCTTGGCCCGAACCTCTATCCATTTAGAAGATCAGGGAGCCGATGCCACCATGTCTGGCCCTTGGTGTCTACGGGTCAGGCTGTGAGCTGGGCTTGTGTTCTCCCCGAGGACCAGGAAAAAGAGCAAGGCTTGCTCTTGTAAGTGTGGACAAGCACTAGGGCTGAAAACCAAACCTATTTTCCTATCAGAGGCTCCTCCAAATAAATATATTTCGCCAGAATTCTGTTTTCTGGGCTCGAGAAGCAGGGAGAATCGGAACAAAGACAGTATTTCACTCTGGGCTGGCAGGCAGCTGTTAGAGGTATTTACGGCCTTGCCGCAGTGCGGCCGCCGGGCAAGGCACCAAGGGGCACCGGAAACTGAGAAGCCCCCGAAAATTCGGAATTCTGATTTAAGTCCATTTAGGGCCACTTCTCCGGAATTGGTGTGAACAGATACCCTCTTTCTAGGAACTGGTCCCTTAGACTTGATACTTGTGCAGATTGAGGGAGAAGTGTGCTTTTTGAAGGTAGGGTGGTTTTTCTTCGCCTTGATTAACTACTCAGGAGATTCCGTGTCTAGATGTGTAACTGCTCATCCAAATGACAACCTTACTTGTGTTCGTTAGCAACACGGTGATTTTGCCGAGTTCGGTGGAACATGCCTTGCAAATCAGAAAGCACGGTTGACGCTTTAATACAGGTTTCCTTGAAAAAAAGAAAAGTACGTTTCCTGCCTGCCTAAGATAGGGCATCCAAGCTCCTCTGCAGGTAGGCGCTAAAGCAGTGCGCCCCCCCGCATATCCCCAAAGTGCCCGCCACGCACGCTCTCCAGGCTTCCAGCGCATGTGCGGTGAAATAGCCCAGCCTGGTGATCCAACTTGCGGAGGCATGGATGGGGGGAGGGGGCAAGTGGACTCAGAGCCGGAAGATATAACCGGATCTCTCTGCTCCTCCCTCCCTCAGAATTCACTACTCATCTTTCCTTTATTCCAGCCTTCAATCTAAATATAACTAAACATCTTGCCCTTGATACGTTATTTTCAATCATCTTGACTCACCACCCCACCCCAATTTAAATCTGCACTTCAGAAACAAGTCTGCAAATATGAGCTAGTGGCCAAATGGAAACCAAGTCTTCTTTCAGGGTGTTAAATAAATACACACACACACATATTTAATACCATAAAAAAAGATTTTTAAATTGTGTGTGTGTGTGAGAGAGAGAGAGAGAGACAGACAGACAGACAGACAGAGACAGAGAGAGATTCTCAAGGGAAGTGTATAGATTTTTTTTCAGCCTGGTGCTTTTGCTTTGGGAAAAGGCCTTTCCTCTTGGCGCCTGTTCAAACCGCCAAACTTCAGGCCAATCCTTCAGCGGGATCATTCCCGGATCTTGTTACGCCAGCGCAGCACGTTCAAGGGCTCTGCGGGGGCCAGCGGCTCAGCGGAGAGCGGTCAAATAAATAAATAAATGAACGGACAAACTGGAGGGATTTTCCGCTTGGGCTCGCCTAATTAATGGGGGATGCACGCTCCTGGGCTGCGGGCCTGTTGTTTGTGCTGGAAGGAGTGCAGTGGGAGACGGCCTCAGGGCCCTCTCGACTCCTGGCCGCCGCGGGGTACACCGCAGGAAGAGCTTACAGCCTCTAGTGCGGGGACCCCTCCGCCCCAGAGAAGAAGCCCCGGCCTCGCGTTTCCGGGCCTGGCGTAGTCCCCCAGTTTAGCTGTCTGGCGCCTTGTCCAGGAGGAGGCGCTGTAGGACAAGCGTCTCGCGGTTGCGGCGGCACGAGAGTTGCCCCGGGCGCGAGCGGAGCGGGGGCGGGGAGGGGGAGAGGGGAGAACATGTGACCCTGCCTCTCCGTCTCCCCTCCCTCCACCTCCGCTGTTGAAGTGCTTTCCGCCTGGGTGGAGGGTCGGCGACGCTGCGCCCACCTCAGGGGCCGCATCCCGGGACCCGCAGCAGAGACAGCCCCCAGGCCCAGTAGCCTGAAGGCAGGTTCTGAGGTGGCTGGCCGTCTCACTTCCTTTGCCTTCCCAGAGGGGGCGCGATTTTCGCACGCTGGGCTCCTAAGAGCAGGAAACTAGAGTCCCATGGTAGGGCAAGCTGCGCCCAATCCGCGGTGGTCCCAACGAGCTCCCTCGTGCTGGGCTGCTGGTCTTGCTACTTTCTCTTCCCGAGACCCCTGGCACCCAGAATGGGCAGCCTTTAAAAGCACAGCGTTTTGATCTTCCTCCAGCAGGCTGACTGGCCTCGCCCTGGATCACTTAGAGCAAAGCTTGGGTCCCAGGATTCCCTTGGGGCTCCCTCTGAGCCAAGGTGAATCCTGTTGACTTTTCGGCTTGAGAATTCCGCAGATGCCCAGCTCTACTCTTTTCCACACCAACTACACACCCTTCTTTTACCATTGCTCTCATTTCAGGCCTTTGGTGGGCTCACGGTGTTTCCTGCACCAGCGGTGGCACCCAACTTCAACTGCCTCTGACCCAACTCTTGATCCTCCATTGTCTCTTGGCAACAAAAGTCTTTTGCCTCCCTCTTTTCTCTACTTTAGGACAATGATTCTTAATGAAGCTTGTATTCAAATCTTGTGTATAATGCAGGTTCCTGGGTCTCAAGCCAGATTTCTTACTAAATCTTAATATCCTGGACCTGCATTTTATAAACACTCTCCCCTAGGAGCAATTAGAATGCAGAGTTATGTTTGAAAAATACTGGCCAAGGGTCTCTCCTGCTTCTTTTGTGGTTCTTCTGTCTCCAGGGGCCAAGTTCCCTCCACCATTCAGGACTCTCCATAGTTCCTGGGGCTCCCTCCCAAATTGGGTTTTCTAATGTTACTATCCCATAGATAGAGTAATTGTTCATTTAGGGAAAGGGACATTGATCCCTTACTAACTTGGAGATTCCAAAGAGGTGAGTCGATTTAGACTGCCTTGATTCAAATCTTTACCACTTACCTACTGTGTGATCTTAAGTAGAGAAAACTATAGGCCTGTTTCCTCATTTGAAAAGTAGGAATAAAAAGAGTACCTTAAAGTGGTGTCGTGAGGATTTTTACTTACATAGCACTACTATGTGCCAACCACTATTCTGCTTTACATACATTAACTCACTGGTTAAGTACATATAACAGTGTTTTAGCACATAATAAGCATTCAATATGTGTTTCTTATCATCGGTATCCCTTTTCTGCTCAGCAATCATGCCTAGACTTTTAGAGCTGGAAGAGACCTGGTTCACTCATCCAGTCCTTGAATTCTACAGAGAAGACAGGCTTAGGCTTGGTCACACAGGAAGTGGCAGATCCAGGAGAACATAGTTCTGTATTGGGCCTCATAGGCCCTGCTCCCTTGAGTCTCAGTGTTTAGCACTTGTCTACAGGTACACTTTAGAGCCACACCCAGGAGAAAAGTGTCCCTAACTCCTCAATGGGCAGATGTCAGGTAGGAGAGGCCTCACACCCACAGGCACATCTGTGACTCCTATAGAGGGCTTCAGGCCTTTCCAGAGAGCAGACCCCACTGTCTATCTCCTGGAGTCATCTTCACTACCACCTATTAGTAACACCTACCAGGGCAAGTACCCTCTTTTATAGCCCCAGGACAAATGTTCTCTTTTAAGTTTCTTGAAACTGGAAGCAGACTGGAAAAGCAAAAGACCAGTGGGCAACAGAAGGGGAGGTCAGGAGTGCCCCGCTCACCCTTAATCTGCTTTTGTTCCAAGATCTAGGTTCCAGGGCCATGTCTGAGCCATAGCTCCCTACGTGGGCCATAGTGATGCCAGGGTATGTCTTGGAAAGGTCTTATCCCCAAAATCTCCATCAGCCCTTCCAATTTTTTGAGATTCTTTTTATCTTTTAAAAAGAGTTATGTAAATACTACCTCAGGCTATAACCCACACACATGCACACACCCACTGCAACTGGGTTCCAGCCCCTTAGCTCTGACTTCCATGACTTCTGCCTATGGTCCTTTCCTAAGAGGGCTTCTGCAGCCCTTGGCTAAGCTGCTTCTCTTGGCTTAACCAGGAGTCTACCTGGGTCAAATTTTCTCTCAAAACACAGTATCTTCCACTATTAACCATGGCAGGTGGAGTTTGGCTCATGGCATAGGGCAGCACTGTAGCCCCTTAGCGACCCCCAACTCCTGTGCCATAAAACCTCCATTCTTGGTTCTCAAAAGACTTAGATGGTCATCCCTGCCCTTCTTGGGACTACTGGAGCCTTTTCTAGCCCCTGGCCCCACTGTCAGAGATTCTGCCCCAGGGCCCATTCTTTTGGGTCTCATCTCTCACTATTGAAGTTTTCTTCTGTAGTTACCTTTCTTCCCAAGCCAGAGCTCCAATAAGTGGACTCTATTGTAGGGCGTAAGGAGGGGGTGGCAGGGGTAGTGTTCCTTTTTCACTGATACAGGACAGTCCCAGGAATATGGAATCAAATTTGTCTCCTGCTCGGGACTCCCTGATCAATCCTTCTCTGACTCTACCCCTGGCCTGTGTCCCTAAGTGCCAGGCCTGGCAGTCTCCTTCATCCATCTGCCTGTGGCTTAGGGAGTTCATCCAAAGCCCCATCCACACCTATCCTCACTTTGCAGATATTTAGTTTAAGGGGAGAGCTTAACACCACTTCTGGGCAAGAAATCTTTTCAAAGTCAGGATCAGAATATTCTTTCCTGGGGCCACATAGCAGGGGCCCTTTGGGTGGGCAAAGGGCAGACCTCTACATATGGAGTGCAGCTTATGCCTCCTGAGGCTCCTTCACACTCTTCTCCTTCCCAGGAGCTGCTCTGGCTTTTGAATTTGGAGGAGCCCTAAACTTTACCTAATGGGAGCTCTCTGGGCAGGAGTTCCCATGACTGGTTCTTTCTAGCCAAATGAGGGACAGTGCCTAGAGTCTTACCAGAAACTCCTTCCATTCCTTATGGGTTTTTAAGAAGGCTTCATTCAACCTCTCTTCCCCTACCTCCTCTTTCATTACCACTACCACCATCATTTAAAGTCCTTGGGAAACCCCAACAAATTAGCCCAAGCTAGTCTGCTGTTCCCCCTGGTCCTCAACCTTCTTACTAGACCAAGTTTGCTCTTCTCCATCTCTGCTGCCCTCTCACTCATCTACAGCAGCTTAGGACATTGAGGGCTGGGCGGCAAAGGAAGATTGTAGGAAGATGGACACTCTCCTTATGCGTCTGTTGCCTGGCTGTCCTCATATTAGGAAGTAATCGAAGATGTCTGCCTCAATGTGTCCTTTTTTCCCCCTCTCTTTACCTATGCACAGCTAGTTACTTTTCTGTTATCTAAATATACAGAGTAGGTTGTTGAATCTTATTTATTATCTTAATGTAAGTCACAGTTAAGACTGCAAGCAAGTCCTGGTCACCATCCTTTATCACCATTAATTCAAAAAAATTTTTTTTTTGCTAAGCTGGGACTAGCTAGGCACCAGGCATTATTTCAAACACCACTTCCTCAACATGGTCTTCTCTTTACCCCACCCCACTTCCATAAAAAGCTCATCACAATTGCTTAGAAAGTCATATATCCTTTGACTAATTGTTTTATTAACTTAAAAAAATAAAGCTTTTCCCACCCCCTCAAACTTTGATTACTTTTTACAGTGGTTTAACAGACTAATTTTGAAGCTGCTCACCTAGTACTAACAGAATCAGAAATCATTTTTGAAAGGGTTGATCTTTACTCATATTTTAAAGACAGATGCTCCCAATTGTAAAAGGAAAAGATCTTAAGTTGTTATTTGGGGAGGGGAGAGAAATGAATGCCATACAATCCAGACTAATAGCCCCTTTCTAGCTAATGAAAGTCAAATCAGGAACTGGGTTTAGAAATGCACCGAGAATGGGTGGAAATTAGAATGCAAAGAGATCTTCGTAGAGAGGGATCTCTTTCTTGGGCTTGATGGGACTTGCTAATGAGAACTTTTGCAACTGTATTTGATTTAGAAATCCTATGTGTGTGTGCTCTACAAATCTACACAGAACATCCATTCTTTTCATCAGAATTGTAAAAACCACATGTTTCACATTGTTTGGTGGCAATTCTGTCAGGCTATGGAAGGATGCTGGGGGTCAGTTCTTTTTGTATTTACTCCTGTTGGTGGGAGTTGGGGGTATCTTTCCCACCCCACCTCCCCCAAGCATAGAATGTCACACTCCAGTAGAGCAGTGATCAGGCCCAAGCTCCTTTTCTTGGCTTTCTCAGCATGCAAGCATGCTCCCCCTTTTTTCCTGCACTCTTAGGATTTCCCTCTGGTGGATGTAGTGGTTCAGGAGGTGGAGAATAGGACCTACCCAGGTTTGGGCCCCTACGGTACTGCGAGCCCCAAGCTCTGTGGTTGGACTGCTGTGGGAGTGGGGACATCTGACTTCCTGGGCTTGGGTTCCTTGAGAGCCTCATTTGCTTCCTCACACCCTCTCCCCTTCACACCAGGGCTGTTTTATTGTTTTATAACCTTCTTTAGAGCTGCAGTTGCCAAAGATTCCGATGGGCTATTCTCCACTTTCTCACTTTACCAAACCCCAAGTCTTGCTGTTTTAAGCAGTTTGGTCACTTGCAAAGGCTTTCCTTTCAGATCCAAGCAAATTATAGAAACCTCCAGGCATGTGGCTACCTTTAACTTTGCTGAGCTCATCCACAACAATACAGAGCCAAGTGTTAACTCCAACTGCCACCCCCTCCTTCAAGCCCACCCAGCCTCTCCTTAACCCTTTTTCTATTGAAGCTTGAACAAAATCTCAACTTCTGGCATAAGCAGTAAAAAGTGGCCTTTGACTTTCCTCTTTATTTATTTACCACATCTAGAGCTAGGAAATGATTGAAATAAAGGAGTTGATGGTACTCACAGTGAATGCAGCCAAAGAATCATAAGACATGCCCACCAACCAGCCTTTTCCAAATAGCACTATCTCCCAACTTAAACAGACATCTCTGAAAAGATGCTATCTGAAAAGCCCAGGGTATTGATATGAATATGACCGCCCCCCTTGCATCCTGGATATTTGGAACTATTTAAATGTGAAGGAACAGTTGCAGTGAACCTTTATTTAGTGAATAAAAGTTTAAAGCCAAAGGTTATTTATGGTTCTGCAGAGATGCGACCTGAGTGGCTATTTACAGGCACGTGATTCCAATAAACTTTGTTTTATGGCTTGAGAGTTGACAAGCCAAAATATAATTCCCACCATAAATTAGGTTAAGAGCATACAAGTGCAGATGCTTGGTTCCTGGAGCAGCGATAGGAAAGTGAGAGGCTCCAGCTAGCACCCGGCGCAGGAGGCAGTTCTCCCAGCTCCCCTGCCCACTAGGAGAGAAAAACCCAGTAAGTCACTTATTTTTTCCAGGACAGTTCCAGGGGTGGGAGATTTCTCTGCCTCTATTTTCCACTTGGGGTGGGGAGTAGTCTCATTGAAGTTAATTCTAATTTTAGCCTAATCCTAAATTAACAAATAGAAGGGGAATCCCGGTTTTCTCCCCTCCCTCTGGACAGAAAGTTAGGAATTGAAGGCTCCCACTTCACAAGAGGGACTCACTGTCTCTCTCCTCCCCATATGGAGCATCTATTTCAGAAGTGGAATAAGACTGGGCAATCCAGGTGTAGAGAGAGAGAGAAAGAGTGAGGACGGAGATAGTTTTTCGCCTCTGAGATTTCTCAGAGAGGACTGCCATCCTAGAATAAAACTAGAAGAGACTGAAAACTTAAAGCTGGACACCAGCCTGTGTGATGACCTCTGCATTGTAAGATTGCTTTGTGGGTTCTCCAGCAACAATGCTGACAAAATGATGTCATATCCATAGCGCTGGATAACAATCTAAAGCGTTGCCATTTACCTTTAAACCCAACGATTTTACTCCTAGGTTATCATTTGGGTCTTCATTTCACTTGGAATTGCTCTTTGTTCTGAATTGGAACAGAAGTGGAAAGGCAAGTCCCAGCCAAGCCTGGCCCTTCTTTGGGAAGAAGACAGATTTGAGGGGCACTAGTTTGGGGGTGGGGAATTCGAAACCATTCTGAAACTGGAAAGGGGACCTGAATTGCTCCCAACGCAAGACAGACGGGAAGCTGGGGCTGGGGATAGATGCAGAGGCTGTCCCCTCCCCAGTAGACCTGCGCCCACCCAGCCGATTCTGCAGAAGCAAATACACAAAGGCCCATTTTCTTCTCGCTTCCCGTTTTCCCACTGGGGAAACCCTGTTACAAGCTGGCTGAGTCGGGCCAAGCAACCAGTAAGGTATTGCCCAAGGGTGCGTGGAGTGGGGAGGTGTTGGGGGCCATACTCCCCTACTCTGTGAGTCTGCCCTGGAGGACTACGATCTCCAGCTCCGCGGAGAATTTGGCGCAGTTCCTGGGGGCGGGCACCCGAAGCGGGGAGGTCTGGGTATTGGTGGGGTGCATGGGCCTTGTCATTTTTCTGTGTATCATCTCTCTCTGCTTTATTATCCTGTGGAATTTAAGTGACCCCGTTTTTATTGCAACAGGTCAGGACCATGAGATATCGCCTCTGTAAGTACCTTCCCGTTTCTTCCGAATCGTGAAGAGAGGTATTGATAGCTGGAGAGGTGGTGGGCTAGGGCCGCGCGCTAGGGGAGTGGGAGGGTAGAAGAACCGCCCTGCCTCCCCTGGCCTGGCAATGGGAGGGGAGCTCGCTTTGGAGGTGGAGGTTCTAAGTTGAGCTCCTGGAAAGATTTTTGGGGCCTAGTTCACAATCACCTAACTAAGGGAATGTGCTGCGGGCTCTCCTTCTTGTCTTCTTGGGCCTCCTTGGATCTTTGCGACCTTCCCAGGTCTACTCTGCTCGCACAGGTGCAGCTCCACCGCAGAGTATACTTCTCTTAAGAGCTTGCAGCTAATTAGCAGCCCGCCCTATTAAGTTGCGGCGAGTATCGCCTTGTGTAAGAACCGACCTGCCAAACACCAAGGCAACGCGATCTCCATCCGCAGGCCGACCCAGCTTAAACCCGACCCAGCCAGGCCCAACCTTCTCTTGTTTTGTTTTGTTTTTGTTTTTTTTTTAATAAAAGGAAGAAAGAAAAAGAGACCAAAAAAAAAAAAAAACCACTTAACTCTGTATGGCGGGTGTGTTGAGTGGGCCCGCTTCCGGGAAGGGCAGAGAATTCTGAGCTTTAGGTGGAATTCCCTCCTAGCTCCTCCCCCGGACCCAGCCTCAGCGGTTTGGGCTTTGGGTTGGGGACACGGGCTGAGCGAGGAGGGAGAGATACAGCCCTTCTCGTTCGCCTCTGCTTCGCTGTAACTGCAATTCGAGAATTTCTACACCAGAGCCACTGGTGTTGCAGGCAGATATTGCGAGGGGATTGGAAGGGATGAGGTGGAGGCATAGATTCTTGGGTTCCTGGGCTCGAAAGTTGGATCTTTCTGAGATGCATGTGCTGCGGAGGACGGGTACATTTCTGAGGAGACCCGTGAAGTTTACAGAAAGATTATCTCATTAAGATGATGGTAATGGCGGGAGAATCATGGAAAAAATAGTGGCCCCCGCCCCCGCTGCAAAACGGAGATGGTTTTATTTTAAAGGGAGATGGAATATTCGAGGGTTGTGGGAATCAGGCATTCTCTCCCTCTGGTGAGACATCCTCTCTCCATAGTCAGAGAAGCTGGGACTTGGCTCTGGGCCAGGGTTTTGTGTTTTTTTGTTTTTTTTTTTGCCCTCCAGGCTGGACAGCCTATCTTACTCACTGGGCGCTGCGCTCCACCCCAGAAGTGGATATTTCGCCAGTGCATAGTTCTCCTCTACAAATGAGGCTGGCTCAAGTGAAACCCGCTCTTGACTCCAGGCTGGAAAATCTGGTGTCCCCAGGACCTTCCTGTCTTGCGCCCTTCTTGCTGCAGCCCTGGCTCTTGGGTGCTTATCTCTGCTGAGGCTCCTCACTTGGAAACCCGCATTCAGCACCCTGTGGCTGAACACAGCACAAAAAAGAGATCAAAAGCATTTGTATGAGCAGTTGTGCGGGAGGTGAATATTTAACGCTTTCGTTCATCAATAACTCGTTGGCTTTGACCTGTCTGAACAAGTCGAGCAATAAGGTGAAATGCAGGTCACAGCGTCTAACAAATATGAAAATGTATACCCTCACCAGATCCCCACCTTGCCCAGCAGGCTCCCCCAATTTGTCTGGATTAAGCCTAGGCCCAGAGTCCCCAGGAAGGCAGGAGTGTGGGAGCACTTGGCATTAGGGGAAGTTGGGGGGAACTTTCCTAGGACAAGGGAATTGGGCATGGGGCAGCCTCAGAGCTCTTGTTAGAATTAGTGCCCAGGAAATCCCTACAAAATTGCCAAAGCACTGGAACCAAAGGATCGGGGGCGGGGGGTGGGGGGGAGTTGAGTGTGCAAAGTGCAAAGTGGAAGCAGGCAACCAATTTTGCCAGACTTGGGGGCGGAGGGGTCTTCTTACTCCATCCCACCAAACTCAGGCTGAGGCTTGAAACTAAATTTGAATCATGAGGGGAAAATCAAATCAATCAAAAAAATGTTTAACACCTCTGGCCTAATGTCAGGGATTCAAATGACCCACTTGAGCCCTGGCATCTCTCTGCCCCTGAAATCCATCCGGGCCCTGACTGTGTCTGTGCTCTTGGTGCCTTGAACTGAGGGGGTGAGCCTTAGCATGGAGGCTCTGGGGCGGGTGCAATTCGTGAACTTTTGTACTCTTGTGTGCTGCTGTCGACAAAGCAAAAATAATGAAACTTTGTGATATGTTTGTAAATGATTTCGAATGACCCTTCGCCCTGCCCTTCACCATTAGTGCGCCAGCCCCAGCCCAGGGCGGCTCGATGCCTGCAAGCAGCGCCTGCTTCTGCCTCAGGGGTCTGTCGCAGCAGCAGCAGCAGCAGCAGCAGCGGGACGAAGAGGCCAGCCGAGCTCAGAGCCCAGGAAGGTAAATGCTCGGACTTCTTAGAGAACTAGCTTTGTCAGCCAACCTGACTTGCCCCGGCAGTGGGAAAAAATGATAGACTGAAGATACTCCTTTCTTGCCTTTTTCTTCTGCCACTGAGGGCATTTGCTCCTTTCTGGAAAATACCGTTTGATGGGTTGGGGGTATTTGGATTCGGAGAAGGGGTAATAAAAGTGGTATATCTGGGATGGATTATTTTTTCTTCTCATCTCTTTTTTCTTTTTTAAGAAGACTGTCCTGGCTTCTTGGCTGCTGGATAACCCTGGCCTTGGTACAAGGATGGGGAATTCGTTGCTGCAAATTGCCACTAAGCCCTTCAGGTTACCTGAAACGTCTCTGAAAATGCGAATGGCTTTGTTAGGCTGATGGCAGCTCCGAGAAAGAGGCCAGGGCTGGCAGCTGTCTGGGTACCTGATTTGGGTGGAACCAGGAAGTAGTAACGTTGTCTATATATACCCTGTAGAACCGAATTTGTGTGGTATCCACATAGTCACAGATTCGATTCTAGGGGAATATATGGTCGATGCAAAAACTTCACGTTTCTTCGAAATAGCCTGAGTCGGAAGGAGAGGCCAGAAGCAGCTGGGGCGGGTCAGTCGCCTCTTTCTGCTTTATTATCTTGGACTCCAGGAGGATCGACTAAGCCTGATGACACAGAACACCCTTTTCCTGGAGGAGCTTCTTCACTTTTAAACAGAGGCTCTTGTGTAAAACCCTAATTGGTTGCACGAATTCAGGTTGCAGGCAAGGGCTAGGTTTTAGGGGACTGGTGAGTAAGGTGGGAGACCAGGTAGCCCCAGCTCTGCCCTCTAGGAGCATAAGGTGAGAGGCTACCCAGTGAGAGAGCTCACTGGCCATTGACTGCCATGTGGGAAGAAGGCGAACTGAGAAGGAGTGCAGGAACCTTTGGGGCCCATTTGGGTGAGGTGGGGTGCCCTTATTACCTTCCTTGCTCACTCCTCAGCTGCACAGGCTGGGGCAGCAGGGCCTTTTGCCATACCTGCAAGGCCCGGCTTTGTCTAGAAACACCCAGCTTGGGTACTTGCAGAAAGCTCGGTGGTTACTCATTGCCTAAATTGATTCAGGCCAGCCAGATTGTACTAACTTTTGGGTGACCCTGAGAAGACAAAGCCTGGACTCAGCCTTTGTATGGCAGTCCCTGTTCCCGCGGTCTGGGCTGGTGGGAGCCCTGCCTGCCTGGGATACTCTGCCCAACTCAGAAGCTGCCTTGCCCACCTGCCTTTTGGTGCCTACACCCCAACAGATATGGGGATTCATTACCCCTTGAACTGTACCCATTTTGGGGGGCTGCTTTCAGGCAGAGTGAGTGGAGAGGGCACTGGAGATTAGCAAAGTCAGTGGCAGACAAAAACTGGGACTTCAGGGAATGAGGGTGCTGGGGATTAGAACTACATTAACATCTGGTGGGTGCCCTCGAATGTGCCACAGCGAGTCACTTGATTACATGTATGTTATTTAGTTAAATTTGTGAAAATTATGAGATGCTCACCAACCCGGTGATAAACTCGCTCCCTCCCTATTGGCTGGCGTGGTCACATGGCCGCCAACTTTATTCAGTTGACAGCAAGTAGGAGGGCCCTATGGAAGGAGAAAAAAAGACAACACGAGAAAAATTAGTATTTTCTACCTTCTGAAATTAATGGCCATGAGTTCGTATATGGTGAACTCCAAGTATGTGGACCCCAAGTTCCCTCCGTGTGAGGAATATTTGCAAGGTGGCTACCTAGGCGAGCAGGGCGCAGACTACTACAGCGGCAGCGCACAGGGTGCCGACTTCCAGCCCCCGGGGCTCTACCCACGGCCAGACTTCGGTGAGCAGACCTTCGGAGGCGGCGGCCCTGGGCCAGGCTCGGCGCTGCCCACTCGGGGTCACGGGCAAGAACCCAGCGGCCACTACGGTGCCCCCGGAGAGCCGTGCCCGGCGCCCCCCGCGCCCCCACCCGCACCCCTGTCCAGTGCCCGGGCCTGCAGCCATCCGGGCGGCCCCAAGCAGCCGTCCCCCGGAACGGCACTCAAGCAGCCGGCTGTGGTCTACCCATGGATGAAGAAGGTGCACGTGAATTCGGGTAAGGCTCAGGCCCACCGACCTGGACCCCCCGGAAGAGGGTGCGAGTGGGTGGGGGCATGTGGGGCTTCAGTGGCGCCAGAATTACTCTCTCCATAAATTTTTATAGCTGAAGGAGTAGGCCGGGACCATGTGGCAGGCTGCTTGTCTGTGGGCGAAAAAGGGGGTGGAGATGGGAGTGGGGTGGGGGAGGACTCCATTTTCAGAGCACAGGGAACACCATGGAGTAGAGGGGCTTTCCAAAATGCTTGAAATTCTGGAGCCTGCGGTGGGCTGGAGAGATGGGAACATAGATAAAAATCCCCACTTGTGAGTGTGGGGCAGTGGGTGGGTGTGGGGTGGTAGGAGTGAGCGTGTGCGAGGGGGAGACAGGATAGGCGGGAGGGAGAGCGGGCTTGGAGCTCGGGGAGGGTCCTGGGCCTCCAGGCGAGCCAGGAAGTGAGCGCGCTGTGACTAGGGGCCTAACTAGTGGCCGGGCGCTGACCTGACTATGCTGTCTGTTTTGTCTCCCAGTGAACCCCAACTACACCGGTGGGGAGCCTAAGCGGTCCCGAACGGCCTACACCCGGCAGCAAGTTCTAGAACTGGAAAAGGAATTTCATTTTAATAGGTATCTGACACGGCGCCGTCGGATTGAAATCGCTCATACTCTGTGTCTGTCTGAGCGCCAGATCAAGATCTGGTTCCAGAACCGGAGGATGAAGTGGAAAAAAGACCACAAGCTGCCCAACACCAAAGGCAGGTCCTCCTCATCCTCGTCGTCATCCTCCTGCTCCTCCTCCGCTGCCCCAGGCCAACATTTGCAGCCTTTAACCAAGGACCACCACACGGACCTGACGACCTTATAGAAGTGGGGACTCTGGGCCCATCCCTCCCTGCGCTCCTGGCTGAGCCGAAGCTGCGGGGGCAGGCCGTGCCTGCTGTCACCTTGCTGGGCTCTAAGGTACTGTGGGGTGGACCTGGGACATGCAGGCCGCCCTCGGACTAGGTTAGCATCCTGACCGAGGGCAGCCCCCTCCCTGGAGCAGGACGGGGGTGGGAGGGGGGCGGGGTTCTCTCTCTAAGTATATTATCATATGGCAGGAGCTGCTGAAACATAAAACCTTGGCAAGTCATTAAACTCATGAAAATCTCCGCTGTTGGATTTTGAATTTGCAAATGAAGGTTGAATGCTTTATCCCAGTGTGAATTTGAACATCCTCCCCCACCCCACCCCTCCAGGGATCTTTGTGGTTTAATAATTTGGGGGAATTGAGGCAAAAAGTTGGCCACCCCTGTACTAGGTGCTTTCATGGAAGCAGGAGAGCTGGGCCAGATTTCTGAACTTTCTGGGTTATCTATATCATTTCTAGTGTGAAATATATATTTTGCTCCCAGTGGCCCCATGCCCAAAGAAATGAATCTAAGAAGGAAGTGGAAATGGCTTATTTTATGTTTAGATTATATTTGCTTAAGTATTTATGTATTGGGGAATGGGATAAAGAAATAACTGACATCTTAATATCCAATACTTTAAGATAGTGAAAGGGGCTGAGTTTCAGGGAGCAGAATCTGAGATGTGTGGACATACTTCTGACTTTAATCGGCATTTTGAACTCCAGCCCCTCCCCACTCCCTGGAAATGTACTTAGGGGGCCCTTAACCCTTCTAGGGGGAAGCAAAGGGTCTACTCAGAGTTTAGTTCTTGAAAATATATTTTCACGTGTGTTTTTTTCAGTGCTGTGCTTACAACCAGTTCTGGGTGATTAAAGGAAAGGGAAAAAAGAAAGAAACAAATGGTTCAACATTTTCCTTCTGGAGAAAGAAAGCAAAACCTCTATGTTCTGAGTCATTAGATATTGACTAAATTTTCTGTTTCTACTGGATTCCAAGGGCCCAAATACACCATATAGCAATATTTTATAGGAATTGGTGTATGGCCTGTATTGGAAGAGGGAATGTACAGTGGGGAGAAAGTGGGAAGGTTAGAAAGTCTTGCTTTAAAAAAGAAAAAAAAAAAAACTAATTGAATCTAGAAGTCCACAAAAGTTGGTTTTAGGATTTTCCCCCTGAAGTTTTTATTTTAAACAAATCTAAAGAAGTTTTTCTCAACCTATTAATTAGAAGCAGAAATTGTAAAAGTATAAAAGTTTTCAGGCCTTTTTCCTTGCCTTGAGAATAATGGTTTAGAGCAATCATTCTCAAACAACAGGAGAGATGTTCTTTAGTTATTTTCCTTATGTTTTGCCTGGGAAGGGTTCAAAGCTCATTTTTCTAAAATTCTGACCCTTAGAGATAAGGAAGAAAGAATCAAAGGTAATGACCAGAGTTCATATACCCAAATGCAACAAGGCATTGGAAGTATAAACTCCAAAGCCTCAGGCTCCAAAAAGAAACCCCTGGTTGTAGTTATGGAAAAGTGACAAAAGAGGGGAGGAAGAAAGGATGAGCTTGAAAGGAAAACTCGGAATTGGGGTTATGTGTTGTTGTTGTTTTTTTCAGTGCTTCAGAACATGTTAGAAGATTTGAGTGGTAATTTAAAAAATATATTTAAGTGGAGGGGAAAAAAAGACTTTCTCTGCAGGCATGTTCTTTGGTTCAGTGTCTCCTGAGAGCTCAGGGCAGGTATTCACTGGAGTCGCAAGGCTGAAATTCCACTTCTCTAAAGTATCTTCCAAGCCTTGGTCTTTTGTATTAGACCCTGGGGATAGCTCTTTGTTCCTCCTTGGGGTGAGCCTGGCTCTCAGACTTGCACATGGCAATACTTGAATATCGGCACGTCGGGATATTAAAGATGGATATTCCCGCATTATTCACATCATTGTTTCTATGACAAAAAGCACAGAGTTCATACATAGTCAAGATGTCTCTTTTCTGACGCCCTCACGTTGAGAAGCTGAAAAGGTATTTTACTGAAGTTCGGCTAATTTACAGAATCAGGTTCATCCAGAGGACAAATTTTCTATTCGATTAGCTGTATTTCAGCCGGGAGGACTGACCTCTAAACCCTTAACCTTTTGGACTCTAACTACCCTTTTTTCCCCCCTAACGTGGAGAACAGTCTTTGGATGTAGCAGCTGAAAAGAGCCGCTATCCTTAGGCAAGTTGGAAAGTTGCTAAAATTCTTTCCTAAAACCCCAATCTGTAAATACATTGAATTTCTCCTTGGGAAGGGGAAAAGGTACACATTTTCACAACATCCAATAACATGTATTATAGAGATTATTACATAAATTTCCCCCCTTACCAGAAATTCAGATTAGTCACCTCAGCTTCAGACCAAATGCCAAAACTACTTAACTGCCTTCGCTCCTGCCCCCAAAGGAAAGCCAAGAGGAATGTTTTGATGAAGAAAATCCAAGCTCCTTCTCAAACATAGACCCACAATTTAGGAAAGTAACTTAATTAAAGAAACAACTTCTTTGTTTATAAGCCTCAGCCCTCCATCTCAGCTTCTAGGGATTGTCTTTTGAAATGTTAATGCAGCCTGGATGGCCCAGAGGGCAGCCCTCAACTCTGAGGTCCCAATTGGACCCCGGCCTCCATTTGGGCCCACAGGAGAGAGAGAGAGAGAGAGAGAGAGAGGGAAGAAACAGAGCCCCCTAACCACCTAGGGCAGGGACGGAAATGAGTTTCCATCTGGGAACATGCTCTGGAGAAAGCTAGATGTGAAAAGGTTTAGTGCCCATTTGCTTTTATTTGTTTCCAGTTTGTTCTCCCAAATATGAGCCAGAAGTGTTTGTTTGGTTGTTTTTTTGTGTTTTTTTTTAAAGCTGTGTTGGGGTTGTGACTAGGGGTGGGAGTGAAGTGTTTTGCTGAGGATTCTGCTCCTCAGACTCCCATCTCACGTCCATTGCAGCCTTTTGTTGGGTGATGACATTGTCAGTCAGCTTATGGTGTCTGTTCACACAAGCTGCTTTTTAAATAGAATTGACCAATGTTCTGCTGCCACTGATTAAAGTATTATTTATACTAATTGTTGCCTGTAGTTTTGATGTAATTCACTGATCTATATTTGGAATAATAAAAGGTATAGCGAAATCTCCCTCCTGTTTGGTGCCTCCACAGAAGCATTGTTCATTAAGCCTTATGAATGCTAACATTCAATATTAACAGTTTAAAAAACTAAGTTTTCTTTATTTTCTGCAATGTGCCTGGAGTATGAAGGTTAAACTGTGTAAGGCTTAGCAATTCTATTATCCTCTCCCCCATACATATACACTTCCTATTTGGACACCATATTTTTGTGAGCATTGGGAAGCCTGGAGTCAGATTCAGGTTGCTGGGTGGTGGACATTATTTTTGAAAGGAAAATAAGTTTCTGGGCTAAGAGGGGGCTCCAGGTTGACTTTCTGCGTGGCTCCAGTCAGCCCCAGACCCCTTCAGTCTCTTTTTATGGTGTGGTGGGTGAGAGGCCTACCCCCCCACCCCCACCCCCCAACTCTAGGAGTGAATGTTTGGTGCTGGGTTCTGAGCCGAGCTGGGACTGGCTAGTGGCTGCTCGGACCTGACCCCTCTGGCTTTTTTCTACTTTTCCGGTGCTACTCAGCCCCACTGGGGCCTCCAGCACCTGCCCCTCCTTCCCCCAGCGTCCCCTCCGCCTTCAAGACAATAAACACTCCCCACTATAATAAGTGGCGTGCGCTATTTTTATTGTGAGGGCCTTTTCACGTCTTGGCCTCTCTTGAAGATGAGCCAAGACAGGAGTCCCAAAGTAGACGGGGATGGGGGGCTTGCTCACGACAGGAAATGAGCAGAATGCGTAAAATCAGACATGTGTCTTTAATATATGGAAGGGCTCGCCTCAGACGCGTGGACATGTGTATTTATAAGTGCGTAGACAGAAGTTTAAATATTCAGACACATTTTATGATTGTGCTCTGCCTGTCTTCTGGCTAATGGCTCCTCCTGTGCCCACCAATACATCAATACGGCTGTGTGTATTGAATCACGGGCAGGGATGAGGAGGCAGCGAGTCCATAGCCGAGCCCGCTTGAGTACAGTACAGTAAATCGCGCCCCTCGGCAGCCACACAGCGCTTCCCGCCCGCCCGCCATGTTGGGGAGCCCTCCCTGCCCCCCGCGCTGGGCTGGGCGGCCGGGGCTCGCCAGCAGCCGGGGGAGGGCCTTTCATAACCCGGAGAATTTTCAAAGTGCGAGGAAGATGATAAGAATAGATTTCTACAAGTCCCGACCACGTGATTGGCGAAATAATTAATTCAGCACGTCCCTTAAGAAACACGGAGTCGTCATTAATCTGCCACGCAAAGGGCTCTCTCCGACTTGGAAAGTGCAGGGATCCCAAGAATATCACCCACCCAGGGGGGCGGCGCGGCGCCCCCCAGCCTCCACCCCTGGCCCCGCTGCAGGCGCGGGAGCGCGGCTGGCAGGTAAATATTTTGGCGACTTTTATTTATTCAGATTTAAATCCTTAATGAACTTAGCTGTCAGGGCTGCTGACAAATAGTCCCCTTTGCTTCCTGATTTGGAACCGCGCGCCGGCGAGAAGTTGTTAGTGGCTTGGATGGTGACCTTTGGTTCAGCAAAGCTTTGCACTTATGAAAAATTACTGAGAGCGGCCGTGTGTGTGTGTGTGTGTGTGTGTGTGTGTGTGTGTGTGTGTGTGTGAGACAGAGAGACAGAGAGAGACAGAGACAGAGAGAGAGACATGAACAAGGGGGCGAGGGGCGAGGGTGCGCGCGGGCTGCTCGGAGACAACAGTTGTAAAAACTGCCCGGCTGGGGGACGCGCCTGGCGCACGCGGGCCGAGGTTGCCCGGTCGCCTGTGTCTACCGGGAACAATGGTCGCTGTCACGGCATCTGCCGCCTATTCTTAAACCGGTGAGAAAGGCCCCAGCCCTCTTTTCAAGTGAGGGTCGTAAATTTTTCTTTGCGTCATAATAGAAGGCTATAAAATCGAGTTGAAATTTTACCCCAGGCAGGTTTTGACCAACAGATAATGATTTCCGAGTTGCTTCTCCCACTCTCCTCTCTCCCCACCCAAGCTCTGCCGCTTTTGTCACCCCAGTAAAGAGTTTTTCCTTTTCCCCCTTTATTTCTATATTTTTAATTTTGGGGGAAACTCTAAAATAAAGGTGGGGGAAGAAGTAAGTCCTTCTCGCCGGAGTGGGAGACCCTGGAGCAAGCAGAAGCTTAGGAGAAGGTACAAGCGGGAGAGGCCAGGGCGAGATGCAAAGACTGTCTGTCTCTCTGGCTTGCTCCCATTTCAACCTTTTTTCTCCCACACTCCGAGGGGCTTGGAGGTCCCAGAGCCACTCCTCTTCCACCCGACTCCATCCCCAGTTTGGGCTGGGGGCAGCAGCGGGCATTCTCCATTAGTGCGCAACTTTGGCATCCCGGGGAGGAGAGCCTCCATTCACATCCTTTCCTTACGTTGGCTTTGTGGATGATTCCACGAGATGAGGCTGTTGTGTGCGTTTCCTGGTAGTTTTGGGATTGTGTGTGTTTTGATTTCTTTTTTAGTGTGTGTATATTTCCCCGTCAGATAGAGACAAAGTTTCCTCCGTTATGAATTATACATTCAAACAATAACACATTAATTCAATTATTCAAAGATGACAAATGTTTATGTGCTTTGCAAGTGACTCCGGCATAGATTCTAGGCGCTTTCTTTGAGCTGCTTGCATTTTTCTCAATGAGAATTGGCTCCCCTCCTATCCCACCCCAACCCCACCCACCCGCCCCAACCCACCTGGACATCCCCTCCCTCCCTTAGGCCCAGAGAGGAACCCACAACAAGTCTCCCCAGCCCTGCTGGCAGCCCGGCAGCCAACAAGCTCCCAAGGCCCGGGCTTAGCGGGCACTGGCCCGGGCTATTTTATCAGTGTGACAATTGCCCGGGTTGGTGTGATAAATCATTGTAAGTAATTCCTGAAAGGGTGCGAGGCTGTTGGGGGCCGGACGAGGACTGTAAATCTTTCCGGTTTATTGCTCTATGAACATATGCTCCGATTGAAGAAGGCTTAGATCCTTTCCTGGAGACAAATTCCCGCAAAGTGGCCCCCCTCTTTGGCTGGAGATTAACACTTGCTGAGGGCGA